TCCTTAAGCTCCCATCCCATCCCCGTCCGTGTGTGTGTGCTGTGTTTTGAGAAGGGAGGGGGCGGGCTAGGGCTCGAGCTGCACCAATGCGAGCCTCGCGCTGCTCCGGGGCCGCGTCGGGACAGGCTGTCACTAACGCACGTGACCCGGCGCGGAGCGGCAGAGCGAGCTCGGGGAGGTTGCGGGCTGCAGCCGGGGGCAAGCCCGGGCAACAAAAGGAGAGCGGTGGGAGGAGAGGGAGGGAGGGAGAGAGGAAGAGGACGGAAGGAGGAAGGAACCCGGGGGGTGGTGGAAAGAGAGTGAGGAGAAGCAAAGAAGGGGTAGAGGAGGAGGAGGAGAGGAAAAGAAGGGGCAGAAGGGGAAAAGGAGCGTGGAGAGGCGGAGATGGAAAAATACCAGATAAGGAGAGGAAGGAGGCCTGGGAAAAAGCCAAGAAATGCTCCGTCCTTGTTTATTTCCATCCTCCTCGTTGCTTTCCCAAATACTGTAATACCATCCCTTTCCTGCCCCTCCCGTGATCGGTAAACATCAGGACCGGGGACGTCTTGATCTCCGCGGTTCTCACGGAACTTTTTGCACGGCTTCCAGATTCCCCTGCTGTTCCAAGACCGCCAAACCTACCGGGTTTCCCAAAATGTGATGAACAGAACAGATCCCGCTGGCTTGACTTTTTAAAAAAGTCTGCCGGCCTGCCTGCCAGTGCGGTGGGAGGGCGACATGCTGGGATAGCCCCAGTCTTTTTCTTTGTTTTCCACAGTCTCCACCAGAAGGGTGACCTTCGGATTCCCGGAATCCTTCCCCACTCCCTAGAATTTACTGGGCCAACTCTGGAAGTGGCTTGGACAAAATAATAAGACTATTTTGTGGTGTTTACATGGAAATCCTTTCTCTCTAGTCCGTCCCGAAGATTGTTCCTGAGTTTGAGGACTGATTCCTGTTACAAAACCCCTGAAGTCCCAAATTCAAAGCCAGGTTCTTTCAGAAATCATAAAATGTCGTATACTGATTAATGAATGATTGTGTGAAGTTGTATCATCTTGGAATAGTTTTACTTCTAATGCTGTCTTAGGAAGACTGCAGACTGAAAGGTAGCTATGAAATGGATTATTAAGTAAATAAACCCACCTTCTATTGTTACCTAAGGCCTACTGTTCCACTCCCACAGCTAGAGCCAGTTGTACCATTAGGAAGCCTCCACCAGGTACTGGGAGGAGCAACTGCTACCGCCTATCAGCCATTCCTCTTGAGCCCCCTATTCCTCTGACTTTTTAGGTCTACGTATTCGGGTATCCAACTATGATCACACTAAAAAGGTAACTTGAGCTAAAATCTTCTAAATTGCATATGTCACTGCAAGTCAAACAGTATGAAGTACAGCAGCAGTTTGTCAATGCTTGGATAAAGAGTGGATGCTTGGATTCCTCATTGGACACCGTGTTGATTTCTTAATGGGAGTTTGCTGTTGTGACTTTTTCTGGCCTAAAGAGTTGAGCTTTAGAGCTGACTGCCCAAATCTGCAGTTTATTGCTTTGTAGCTTGGTCAGGATTGGTAGATACTGGAGAGTGGAAAAATGGAAAGGTGTCTTTTTTCCTTATGTCTCTCCTGAGACTCCCACCCCGTATGGGAGGAGAAAATCGTAACTTTGCAGTACATGTCATCTAGTTCCTCCTTGCCAGACTGTAAACTATTAGGGGGACTTAACAGGTCAATCCTTGCCTCACCCTCTCTTTGTGCATGCGTGTGATGTATTTTAGAAGCTCAGGCTTTCCAGATGCTGATAGAAAAATGTTTTCTTTTAATTGATAAATATAGTTCTAGGTATTGGAGAAATGCATGGATACTCAAGAGTCTCGAGGTATCTAGAAAATGCTACCTTATTTGGGGGTAGCTCAAGTTTACTTCAGAATTTATGTGCATTTTATTATCCATATTTGGTACTGGAGCAAATGAGATTCCAAGACCTACAGAAAATCTTAATTAAATCTTGGGAGACACTCTGCATTTAAGTCTTTACCACCTTTTTTGCAAGAGAAATCAATCTTAAAGCATGAGAGCTTGAAAAACATATACACTGTTTCCTCAAAAATAAGACTTAACCTGACAATAAGCCCTTAGTAAGATTTTTCAGGATGCTCGTAATGTAAGCCCTACGCCTAGTGAAGGGAAACCCCACCCTCCACCATTGTGCAGCAACCAGATGACATGACTATATTTGAATAAATCTAGATTGTTGTACATTTAAAAAAATCCCCTGAAAATAAGCTCTAATACATTTTTGGAGCAAAAAGTAATATAAAACCCTGTCTTATTTTCGGGGAAACACGGGTCTTTATTTTTTCAAAATATTTTTTACGTCACCTTCCTCCTTAAAAATAACCCAGGGTAGCTTACAACCAGATGACATGACTATATTTGAATAAATCTAGATTGTTGTACATTTAAAAAAATCCCCTGAAAATAAGCTCTAATACATTTTTGGAGCAAAAAGTAATATAAAACCCTGTCTTATTTTCGGGGAAACACGGGTCTTTATTTTTTCAAAATATTTTTTACGTCACCTTCCTCCTTAAAAATAACCCAGGGTAGCTTATATAAGTTAGACCTAATTGTCTGGGAGGAGAATATAAAAGAGGAGGGAGGCGCGCGAAGTTTTAGAATCCTAACAGGCGGTGAACAACCAGAGAGAAAAGATCAAGCGGTTCAGACTGAGCTGGGCTATGGGCATGAGGACTTTGCAAAACTGATGAAGAGTTTCCCTAACCTCCGGACCGGAGGAGGCTTGCTACCGGACCCGAAAGACCAACACGTGAGAGGAGGAGAGCTAGAGCCCGTAGAATGGACCATGGTGGTATATCCACACAATCAATGTTGGGGGGAAGAGGGTGATCCGTCTCAGTCCCTCTTTACTCCAACAACCGCATGAGGGGGACTGGGCGAGACACCCCTTTTGTGGGACAGTTTGTGCCGTGAGGAGCACCCCTCTACGTCCAGTGACCGACCGGGAGCGGTTTGGACCGGCCCCAGTATAAGTTGTTATTTGCTGACACTGGATGTAAAGGTGCAAAGTTAAAGAGTTCTTCCAGAATTGAATTTATTAGACCCCTTTGAAACAGTTGATTTGAACATGTTAAATAAAAGAGACTATGTTAAGAATAATGAACAGCCTCCAACTCCTTCCTGCGCAACCTTTGGGGTCACCTCCTGCAGACGAAGAACCCAATCACAAAAAGATAAAATGATTAAAATACAATTAAAACAGATACTCTAAAAATTGCCATCAGGACCCACAGTTGATGTTATTTCAATTAAAAACCTTCTGGAACAGGAAGGTTTTGACCTGGCACGGAAATGTCATCAACAATCTCAGTCGGGAGGGCATTCCATAGTCTGGGGGCAGCTGCCAAAAAGGCCCTTTGTCTACAAGCCGCCCCTCTTCTTACCTCCTTGAGAGCTCCTTTAGAGCTGAAAACAATAAGCATACAAAGGCTAAAAAGGATCAAACAAATATCAGCCTAAGAAATGGTAAACAAAAGCAATACATTCAAAGCTGTAAGGCAGCCAGTCACTGAGGGGAAGCTTGCCTGAAGAGCAAGGCCTTTGCCTGCTTGCAGAGGACAGCAAAGATGGGGCCAGCCTGGCCTCCTTTGGGAGGGAGTTGCAAAACCTGAGAACAGTAGCAAAGTCCGCTGTTTTGTCCCCACCAAACCCATCATGAAAGTGGTGGGACTGAAAAGAGAAGCACAAAAGCCTAGGAAAATCCAAAACATGTAAAGCATATTGCAAGATACTAGGTTTTTTTTCATGTTTTGCCTGTTTGTGCAATAATACGTACATTCGTGGTTATTATTTAGCCAAAAAAACTAATAATTTGGCAAAGAATTCTGCTAATGGCCAAAGGCCTCTTCCAGTTTGCTAAAAAAAAAATATGGTTGTTGGACTTTGGTGTGGAAAAAGAGAGTTGAAAACCTTATTATGAAGCTTGCAGAGTAGCTTTCGACCCCACCCACTTCTTGTAGGGATAAACAGTGGGAAACCCATATCTGTAAGCAATCCTTACCTCAATGGTGGAAAAGTTGGATGCAACTATAGCAGTGTGGGAGTAATGCTGTGCCCTCAAAGCAGCAATACAAAATGCACAGTAATTGCTGAAGCCTGAGGGGCCAGTAATTAGGTTGTACTGCTCATGCTTTGCAATATTGTACTGGAGCTGAGCTGGGATTTGCAAAGTTTAGAGCCTTTGTGACTTGTAGGGGTGTAGAACTATTCCTTTTGTCATGGAATGAACACAGTTTATGTGTTTGGTTACATCTCAGGGGTGCAGCTATAGAGCTATCATGAAGAACATCTGCATCCAGAAATCACCACTACACCATAGATGCTTTGCATGAAAGGGGCCCTAGATTCTTTCTCTGCCTGTGCCCAAGGGAATTGCTGCCAGTCATAACAGAGAATACAAAGCCAGATGGATTACCGGTCTGATTTTATTGACCAAAAAAAAAAAGGTGGAAAAAAGGGCGGTTCTTGCAAGCAAGCAAGTAAGAACCACCCTTTTTCAGCTTAATCACTTCCAGTGATCAATCAAACTTCAAAATTCCAGGAAATTTTCAGGAGTTGTGGCCGCATCTTTAACAGATGGGTTATTAGACAATATAGGCTGAAATCTTGTTGCTAATAATTGGCATAGTAGGTGACAACTAGAACAGGCCCATAAAGGCGAGTTGATTCTCCAGACACCTACTAATTCAATAGGCCTAATCTGGTGTGACATGATATGGTAAGTAACAGAATTTTAGCTATAGTCAGAGGAGCTTGGACAAGTTACTTTTTCAGACTACAGCTCCCTGAATCTCCTAATCAGGATTCTGGGAGTGTTACTCCCTAAAAAGTAATCTATTAAGATATGGATATGCTGTCATCCTCTATGCTGTGGTTAATTTATGGCTGCCAGTGTCAAACTGGGGGACGCAAGTATCAGATTAGTTTGTTCACTGGAGTAGGGTTGTAATGAGTGCCCTCGAAACAGTCACTTGTTGGAATTGATTAGAAGGAACAGATTACAAATACAGTAGTGTGATTTCCTTTGAGGTTAATGAGAGTATAATTAAGTGACATTTTGAAATTAACACAATAGATAGGATCAAAATGATTTTACAAATATAATTTATAATGATTGTGATAGGTTTTTCAGGCTGTTCGGCTGTGTTCTGGAGGTTTTTCGCCAGTCTCTGTCCAGCATCTTTAGAGGACAGGAGTTAGAATGTCTCCTATCCTCTGAAGATGCCAGACACAGAGACTGGTGAAACGTTAGGAAGAAAAACCTCCAGAACATGGCTAAACAGCCTGAAAAACCTACCACAACCATCGGATCCCGGCCATGAAAGCCTTCGAGAATACATAATAATGTCTTTTAGTTACTCCCAATGTTACTTCTAAAGTGCATTTTAAGACCCCTTTTTACAGAACTTTCCCCAGTTTTTCTGTCACTCTTATGAATCCTAATTTTTAAGCAACAGAAATAAAAGTTACAAGCAGTACCACAAGTTACCTTTGCAACACAACACTGAGTAACAACAATATATTACTTTTCAAGCATTGTTAATGGGTAGAAGCAACAAGTAACAGCATAGTTTTTTTTTTAAATTTCAAGATCTGAACTGCAGCTATCAATCTATGGTACAAGTACTGTACCCAGCAGGCGACTAATACTATCTGCATAGGATGGAAGAATAGGAAAATAATGTACTCCAACTCTCTGCTCATTGTAGTATAGCCGTAAGTAATGCATTTGTCTTTAAGTTCGCTACACATATCCATTGCTGAATTCTGATTTCTTTTGTAACCCTATATCTTAAAACAGACAAACTCCTGTATATTTTCCCATGAGAATCTGAATTCTGATTCCTTTTGTAACCCTATATCTTAAAACAAACTCCTGTATATTTTCCCATGAGAATGTGTATGAAATAGGAGATGGCAGGAAAGACATTCAGCTTGTAACAAGTTGTATTTTTGAAAAGAGAGAATAAATAAAACCATACAAATGGCAACATATTTTTAAAACAAATTCTGAAATAATAATCTTAGAATAATGATGTTAGAACTGCAGAGCTGGAAAGGGCCCTATGGATCATCAAGTCCATCTCCCAGGAGACAGTGGGGAACTGAACTCCCAACATCTGGCTCTGCAGCCAGAAACCTAAACCACAGAGCTATCCAGCACGGAGGTTAATATTTTGTGTGTTGGAGTTGAGCACCTCTGGTGAGTCTGGAGGCCCATTTTCTGTCTCCAGGATTCTCCAGGGGCTGAATACAGCCTGGAGGAGTTCCTGTTAGCCCTGGGACTATGCTTTGTCTGCTTCTCGTGCAAATAGCAGCAATGTGATTTGTGCAGGATGTATTTCTAGTGTTTGTGGTCAAAGTCTGAAGACAAGAATGGAAAATCAAGGGAGCAAATAAGGAAGAGGGTTATATAAGGACTCAGACCATGTGTTTTTCTGCTGCTCCTGTTCCTGTGAATAGCAATAAATGAAGAGCAATCTTTTTCAGGGTTCATTTCCTCCACAGAGGACCATCCTGAGGTCTTAGGACATGTTGGGTTTTTCTGCATCTATTTGTTGTGAAGCAAATGTACTTTGAATTCTCATTTGGTCCATAAAATCAATAGCCATATCTCCTCCAGAAACATATCTCTTATGTACCAATTTAACTATCACATTTGTTTCTTCCAGAGAATCCTTTTGGCAGCTTCCGGGTGAGAGAGCTGCACAAGACATTTCCCCTGTGCTCAGACCACTTTAAAGGTACCTGAATGATCCTGATGACTGAGAGATTCTGGGAACTGCAGTGATACATTTTTCTAAACTCTGATTGGGTAACACTCATCTCCTACGTTGAACAACACATGAGATGAGCTCCAATGCAACACTGGTGTAGCAAAAAAAAAAAAAAGGCTAGTAGTGTACTTAGCAGGATTTCAGCTGAGGAAAGAGAAAGGAGGTATAGCGTGCCATTGAGGGAGCAGGAAATGCTTCCAGTCTGACCCTGCCTTACGTCAGTCAATAGCTGCCTTAGAGCTCATGGTTGAGTTGGGCCGCCATGTTCTGCCACCCAGAAGAATGGAGAGAATTACTTGGGAAAAAGGAATGAGATGCTTTTTTCCTCTGATCCCAGGAAAGCATGTTGGCTCCATCGCTGGGATCTCTGCAAACTTACTTAATCCCCTCCCCACGCTGCCTTGATACCGAGGACTCCCAAGGTCAGGTATTATTCAGGCAGCTAGTCAAGAAACAATCATGTTAAATGGGTGGACAGGTGGTAGAATCGAAGGGAAAGAAGCCACCAGTGCTGCTTCTGGCTTCTCCTTTCTCCTCCTCTCTCCAGGAGTGGTGGCAGCAGGAGGGATGCTGATGTCCCCACCTAGGACAGCAGGAGAGCTTGCCCTGGCACTGTTAGCTACGGTCCTGTTTAATCATGAGGAACTGTGGAAAGGCATGTCTGGGACCTTTGGTCTAGCAGTAAAGAAATTAAGGCCACTGTGTCAGAGCCCTAAGGAATCTTTCTTTTTGGACTATAGCGGCCATGCTGGCTGGAGGGGAAAAAACACACATTTTCAGTCTGTGCTCAAGTAGCTTTTTAAAGAAGTTTATGAGCAGAGAGGTTATCAGTGTATGTCTAAAGCAGGGGTGTCCAACCCTCACCTTCCCTGGGCCACATTAGAAGATGAAAATTTGGTTTGGGCCACACATACATATGATTTGGGCTGCATGGGGGACAGCCCTAGCCGTCCTCCATAGCCCCGCTCCAAGCGCGCTTACCGGCAGCTGTGATCTCAGACAGCAGAGGCTGCCAACTTAGACTCCGGTGGCTTTATGGGGCCGGGAGGGGGTCCAACTATTGATGGGGATGGCGCAATGCACTCACGCAGCTCCCCTCTCCCTCCTTCCTTCCTTCCCTCTCTCCCCCCCACCGTTGTGACGTGCCCCGGCCGCAAGCGCTGGCAGTGTAACTTGAAACTTTGGAATTTATTTAAAAATAAAAAATTGCACTGGGCCGCATTACGAGCCGACTTGGGCCGCATGCGGCCCACGGGCCGCAGGTTGGAGCAGCCAGATTGCTAACTAAGGAAGCAGATAGAGAAGAGGTGCATCTGACTTGGGTAGCAAAGTGCTTGTAGCTGGTTTTGGGTCCTATGTGTGATAATTTCAAAAAGGGGAGGATGTCGTTTACTGCTTTGACTCAGACAGTAAAGTTGTTAGGGTTAGGGTTAGGGTTAGGGAAGTAGTGAGGCCTGTGGATCATCCGATCATCTAATACAACCAGAGATCACCCTCTCCTTTTGGTCTAGTAGGGCCTCACACTATCAAACTGGAGTGAAAAATGTGGCCGCGCCCACCCTTTCTCTGCAAAGCAATCAGGAAATTTCAGTGGGTCTAAAACACAGCAGCCAGATTGCTAACTGGGGCTGGTCACAGGGCTCACCTCACCTTCCATTAGAGCAGCTCCAGTGGCTGCTGATCCATTATGGGGCTGAATTCAAAGTGCCAGCTCTAACCTATAAAGCCCTAAATGGGTGCAAGCTATCTCAGGGACTGTGTCTCCCTTTATGAGCCTGCTCATAAAGCTGAGAAGATCATCAAGAGAGGCCTTTCTCTTGGTCCTGCCACGTTCACAGGTGCATTTAGTGGGGACCTGGGAGAGGGCCTTCTCTGTGGCTGCTCCCACACTGAAGCTCTTGCCCAGAGGAAGCCAGGCTGGGCCCATCTCTGCTGTCCTTCCGCAAGCAGACAAAGAACTTTCTCTTCAGGCAAGCTTTCCCGTAGAGATTGGCTGGCTAATTGAGATTTTGTGATGGATTGTTGTACCTTCCCGCTTCAAATATGTTTTGATGTTGCTTTCATTTAGTATTTTTACTGTGGCATTTTATTTATTTATTTATTTATTTATTTATTTATTTATTTATTTATTTATTATACTTATACCCCGCCCATCTAGTCATAGACTACTCTCTAGTCTAGAAATACAAAAAGGATTAAACAAGTATTTGTTTAATCCTTTTTGTATTTTTACTATGTATTTACTGTTGTTGGCTTTACATACTGCCTTTCAATGATGTAAGCTGCCTTGGGTCCTTTTTTTATGGATAAAGGCAGAGTGAAATATTTTAAATCAATAAAAATAAAAATCTATTTAAATGTCACGAGTTTCCTGCATCTGCAAAAACAACAACAGCAGTACAGCATTTAAAGAAATTTAAACAATATAGCTGTATCAGCTTTTTTGTAGCTAAAATCATGAAGAAGAATCATGTGGCACCTTGAAAACTAACCCATTTCATTGTGCCATCATATTTTGTGGAAATGTCATCAGGTTTGAATCTGATAGAGTGGGCCGTGTTCACAACAGCTTACGGTGTAATAAATCTGAAACTGGCTCTGAAAAGTAATCTCTTCTCCTTTAGGCCCACCTGGATGTCCTGCCTTTTTTTTAGCTCAGGAAACTTTGCAAGTGCTGTCTGGATGGCCAGAGAAACAGGTTTGGTGAGTAATCTTAAGCGAAGCAATATAGCTGGTTAATTAAATCAAATTGTTTTTAATCAATTGGTGAACCCCTCCCTCCTGAACGTTGTTGTAATATGTTTGTAAGAATGTTGGCCTCAAAAGAGATTTTGCAGCGAATTCTGCACCCCTCACAAAGATCTCTTAATAGTAAACCATCTTTCTTTATTCGTACTACAGCACGGTACAATTTAAAATTGTGACTGTATATGAAATATAGGTCAAATTAAAACCAAATGTTAAGATAATGAGACTGTTTTTGATCAGAAGTAGGCTGTTTCAAGAGCATTGTCTCAGTCATTTGCTAGATCTTCTTTTGTACATGTGGTAGGGCATAAATTGCACTTACATAAGTGCAGCCACAGTCACAGAAAATTGTCCTGTATCCAAGTTAAAATTGTGACTGTATATGAAATATAGGTCAAATTAAAACCAAATGTTAAGATAATGAGACTGTTTTTGATCAGAAGTAGGCTGTTTCAAGAGCATTGTCTCAGTCATTTGCTAGATCTTCTTTTGTACATGTGGTAGGGCATAAATTGCACTTACATAAGTGCAGCCACAGTCACAGAAAATTGTCCTGTATCCAAGTGGTTGCGTTGATTTAATTCTTCCACAGTCACAGAAAATTGTCCTGTATCTAAGTGGTCCCATTGTAATTGATTGTTCTTTGATCTTCCTACTTCAAGTTCTATTAAGTGACTTTCAGATGATCCAGGTAAAGTCTTATCCTGGTAGGAGACACTCTTCAACATTCAACCATTTGATAAAGCATGTAATTTTTGTTCTTCATAGCTTTAGCCTAAGTTCTTCTGGTTTAATGTATAAAGCCTGTGATGTGTGGAGAAAACTTTTCCTTGATTTTAGCCATTGTCTGGGGGTTGGTGTCCATGAAGGGGATGGGTTTGGTGCTGTATTACTTTATTTTATTCATTATTCGCTAGCACCTCTCAACATACTTCTGGAGGGACAGTGCCAGACAAATAATAGACGTTTTCAATAGAGGTAGGTTTCAGATAGCAGGTAATAATCCTGCATGACTCATTAAGAGTCACACCCACTTGTTTGGCATTTGCTGATTTATACCATATGGGGCTAGCATATTCTGCTGTGGAGTAGCATGGGGACAAAGCTGCTGTTCTTATTGTTCATGGGTGTGGATCCCAGTGTCACACAGCCGGTTCCCTAACTATGTTATTTCTGGAGGCAACTTTCTGTTCAGTGTTTAGATAATGCTTTTTTGTAGATCAGGATTGATCCAGAGTTAACGCCCACATATTCTGAGGTAAGGTAATGCTCCAAAATCTTGACTTCCCAGAGCTGCTTCTCTGTTCTTTAAGTAGAAGGCATAGATCTGTGTTTTGAAAGGGTTTGGTTTCAGCTGATTATGATAAACTATAAGCACTTAGCTTTACCTACCTTACAGAAAGAGCAACAAAACCAGTGGCAATTTAAACACTCACACATTTCTTATGGAATAATCTTTATTAGAATGCATTCTTTCATAGAAGGCATGCACCTGATGAAACAATTCATAGCCACTGAATTTCTGTAGTCCATGAAAGCCTTTTATGTAATAGATGTGTTAGTCTTATGGAGCCATGGAACTTTTTATTTTTGCTGCAACAGACTAATATGGCCAGTCTTCGACTTTCCTACCTTGCAGGGTTGTTTATTCGGTTTATGTAATTAAAGAGATATACAACCAGTAATGAAGTATTACTTTGAACATAATGATTTTATGAGCACTGTAATATAAATTATGACAATATTCCTAAGAAAGATTGCTCAAGAGAACTTGTTTTCTGTGGTAGAAAATCCAGATAATTCTCCATAGTGTAGTAAAATGTTAATAATGAACAAGGCCTAGTAATCTTTATGGGACCAGAAAAATTAATGTTGCTTAATAAAAGAGCCCGACCTGAATGCTAAACTCATAATAATACAGAACTAGCCTGATCCTATGCATGTTTACAAAAACATGAGTTCCACTAAATTAAATGGAACATACTCTTTTGTAAGTACCTAAGGTTATATCCCTAACTTAACACCTTGAATGATATTCCTACATCAGTTAGGAATGATTCTGTTTTTTTTTATTTTTATGTACCTGATTTCTCTTCAACAAATGCTACCTTGAATTTTACCAAGTCACAGTGACCTAGCTGAAGACTTCACTGACTGAATAGTATTTTGAATGCTGTCTCAGAAAATTATGACAAAAATGTGTGGGAGTTTTGCAGTTCA